TAGCCAGAAACTGGAAACAACCTAGATGTCCATCAACTGAAAAATATATAAAGAACGTGTGGTACATTTAAACAATGGAGTATTACTCAGCTGTTAAGAACAATGGCATCATGAAATTTGCCAGCAAATGGATGGAACTAGAAAAGATCATTCTGAGTGACCCAGGCCCAGAAAAATACACATGGTATGTACTTACTTATGGATGGATGTTAGCTATAAAGTATAGAATAATCATGTTATAATCCAAAGACCCAAAGAAGCTAAGTAACAAGGAGGGCTCAAGGTCGGACACATGAATCCCACTGTGAGGGGTAAGTAGAATAGACATCACAGGTGGATGGGAGGGGTCTAGATGCAGGAATGGGCATGGGAACAGAAGGATCTGTTGAGGGGAGGATGCAGGGAGAAAGTACTGAGAAAGACAACTGGAATCTGGGGAATCTCTGGGATCAGCTAGAAACCTAGGGCAATGGAAACTCCTCAGAATCTATGAGGGTAACCCTAGTTAAGACTTCGAGCAATGAAGGATATGGAGCCTGAACTGGCCATCTCCTGTAACCAGGCAAGACTTTCAGTGGAGGGATTAGGACCCCAACCCAGTCACATAACCTTTGACCTACAATTTGTCCTGCCTACAAGATGTGCTATGGTAAAGGTGGCACAGAAATTAAGGGAGCAGTCAACCAATGACTGGTTCACCTTGAGACCACAGCTGACACTGTCTGGGGGGGCCAGGACCCAGAGTCTGGACAGTCCAGAGACCTAAGATAGAATCAAACATGACTGGCAAAAAAAAAAGTCAATGAGAAGATTTCCATCGATATTCTGCTATACTCAGATTGATGCCTAGTCCAGTTGTCATCAGAGAGACTTCACCCTGCAACTGATGGAAACAGATAAAAGAGACCCTCAGCCAAACATTAGGCGTACCTCAGGGAATCCTATGGAAGAGGAGAGGAAGAATTGTGGGAGTCAGAGGGGCCAAGGACACCATAAGAAAACCCACAGAACCAACTAACATGGGCTCATAGGGGCTCACAGAGACTGAACTGACCACCAGGGAGTTTGCATGGGACTGAACTAGGCCCTCTCCACATGTTATAGTTGTGCATCTTGGTTTCCTTGTGGGAATCCTAACAGTGGGGAGCAGGGGTTGTCTCTGACTGTTACCTGCTTTTGTGATCCTTTCCCCTACTGGATTGCCTTGTTCAGCCTTAATAGGAGAGAAAGTGCCTCATCTTAAAGCACCCTGATATGCCATGACTAGCTGCTATACATGGGAGGCCTGCCATTTTCTGAACAGAAAGGGGGAGGAGTGAATTGGGGGTGAGGGAAGAGGAGAGGTTTGAGCAAGGCCTTGGAGAAGAGGAAGAAGGGAGAGGAAACTGTGATGGGCTGGAAAAATTAACTAGTAATAAAAAAGAAGGTGGGATTGTATGCTGACAATCTCGTAAAATAAACCTACTTAAGTGGGGTTTATTTTATTTATTTATTATAGAAGGCAAAAACATTTCATGTTCTCTATCAAATTTTTAAGTGATATTTATCTATCAATTCCTCAACCTAAGGATAAAAAGATTAATTTCACTTTTATTGATATAATTACATCAAGAATCCACAAGGGAAAAATAAACGTCCTTATCCATTTATTAAAATAAAATGTTATATATGTATTTTACAAAATGATTAGCAAAAAATTCTAAAATAGGGAACTATCCCTTAAAAATAATATATATTGTTATCTTCCAGAAATTTTAAAGTAGTCAATAATATATACCAAAACTATGAATAAAAATGAAATAAATATGTCTCAAACAATATTTCATATTAATAAAATTAATATATATCTAATATATATTAATATTTTTTAGAAACTATGCTTGGTGTGTACAATTAGTCAATTTCTATAGTAGTTCCACTACTTAGAATCCTTTAGAAAATATTTATTTGATAAGAATTTATTAAGGCATAAACTGGCTGATTTTGGGGATAGGTAGATGGCTGACCTAACCTAGGACTAAGTTTTGATCAGAGGCATCCACATGGCAGCTCACAATTATCTGTAACTCTAGTAACAGGGAATAGTACACAGACATATACGCAGGTGAAACACTCATACATATAAAATAAGAAATTATTAATAAATAAGCTGGTTGGTTTCATAATATGTAATAGAAATTATTCCTCTGGTTATAACACTTCACTTTCTTTCCTCTATTATTATTTTTAACTACAAATAAATGCCTTGATATACAAAGATGATCAACATTGTAGGTTTTTGTGAAAGCAACTTTCGGATCTATTGATTCTGAATTCCATACTATTTATAGTTTTGATCTTGTGCATAGTACTCATATCTAATGATTTTTTTCTAGTTTCTCAAACTAAAGAATTTAAGACAATGTAATGGTACTCTCACCCAAGTATGCTAACTACCTTAAAGATAAAGATATTATAGAGTATGTAAAGAATTAGAAATATTTAGAATGTGTGAAAAGTTTCATAGGGAAGATAGTATCATAATACAACTTTTCTAAAACAACACCAAAACAGACCAAAACCCATAAAGATAGTTAACTTTTAACACATCATCTTCTGAGTCCAAGAACAAAAAGATGAGAGGTTGAAAACATGAAGCTATGCCAAGTAACTTCCTACTTATATACAAAATAATGGATAAGAATGGAAAGAATGGTTGATGTGATGATAGCATATGAAATAAAAATAAAATACAAAGGAATGGAGACATGGCTCAGCAGTTAAGAGTTCATACTGCTCTTTTAGAGTACCTAAGTTCAGTTCCCACCACCCTTGTTGGGAGGTTCACAACCATCAGAAACTCCAGCTCCAGGGGATCCAATGCCCTCTTCTGACCTCCAAGTGCACTACACCCATGTGCACACATACATATACATATACACATAATTTTAAAATAATAACAATAAATCTTGAAAGATACAATAATCTTAAAAGTAAAACTAGCAACATGAGAAAGTTTATGTTATGATATTAATAGCTTCTATAATGTAATGATAATGATGTAAATACATATCATTGACATAAGGACCAAACAGCTATACAATAATAAAAATAGTTATTGCTAATATTCATTAACTTTTAGTCTTTTTAATGTTACCTTATATTTAAATACAAAAGAGTTACTTATTAATTATACTAGTTATTTTCTAAGAAGGCAGTACAACTAAATTCATTTAAAAAGCTAGAAATATTTAATGAGTTTTACCTACATTAGGTACCCTGATAAGTCATCAACTCTTTGGTGGCTCACAGAATATTTCAAATGCTTTCTTTTTTTAGGTACTTTCTTAAAGAGTATAAAACAGTAGAAAGTGGGTTATGAAAGCAAAAAATAACCAGGAGATTAGTTACTTATGTTGTGTATATATACATGAGAATATGTATATGCTTGTTCATAGGCATGCATATATGACATATGTGTTTATAGATATGTATTTGTACATAGATGTATATATGTGTTTATGCATGAGTACATGAATTCTAGATATTGTGCCATTTTAAATTATTAGTATTACTAATTTCCTAAAAAATTCTTAGAATGGTAAACATGTGCTGTACATTATAAGATCACATTTTTAAAAATTTTGTATTAAATTTATTTATTTTATTTTTATGTATGATTTGCCTTCATATATGTATGTGAACCATGTGCATACTTGGTTCACAGGTATGAAGGTCAGAAGAGGGTGTCTGATCTCATGAATCTGGAGTTACAGATGGTTATAAACCACCAACAATGTGGGTACTGGGAAACAAACCCAGGTTTTCTGCAAGACCAACAAGTTCTCTTACCCACTAAGCCATGTCTGCAGCCTCCTCTAACATATATTTTAATCCCAATCAGTATGCTGATAGCATAGGTCAGATAAGAAAATAGAGATCCAAAGGCTGGGGTTCCCAAAATGGAATTAAGATAAATTTGAAGTTTAAAATTTTTAAAAAATAAAATTTGGCAAAGGTGGCACTCTCAGTGGCTAGGTGGAGAAAAGAAGATAAAGGAACAAGTACATAAAACTGGGTACAATCAGTAAGAAGTGGTAGGGACTTATGGAAAAGTGTCCTTAGATGGAGTAGGTTAGATTTAACCTACTCCACCTAACAGCACAGCTGAGTCATGAATACTGACCTAGCCTAGAGCTGTCACATACCCAAAAATCTTTCAAAAGGCCAAAAATAGAGATGATCATGTGGAATTCCTGGTCTTGTAACTGCTAACAGTATTTTAGCTCATTTTAATTTTGTATTCCCTGCAATAGACAGGTAATGGCTGCCCTTGTGCTTATTTTATTTAATGGACTTGTTTTCTACTTCTGAACTATGCAGGGACTTCACAAGGGATAGTCTGTATTTACTGGGTGAGGCATAAACCACCTTTTTATTTAGAACTTTTCATGGGGGCAGAAAGGTACAAAACAATGAAGTTAAAGTAAACTGTGGAACACTGGTAATCACCAACCAAGTGTCACTATGAGAACTTGATACGAAAACCTGAATAATTCTAAGGAGTAGAACTGTCAAGGATTTGGACATTCTGAGTCACTACAAAGGGAAATTATCCTTAAAAGCTTCTTACAAATATGGCTACCTTTGCTGAAATTACATTGATAATGTTAAGAGAAAGCAAAAACTAATCAAGATGGGACAGCCATGAACTACAGAACTGTAAACAGGATGCACACATGCCCTGTGTTGTGCCTACTGCTCACTTCTCTTTGCCTATCTCATTCTTGCAATCTTCTTCTTTCCTAGGCTAATAGAAAGAAATTCCTGGAGAAACCTAAGATATGCCTGGCATCTAGCTGTGGGGAGAGAAAACAGGAAGCTAACTGTAAATGAACTTTCACTTCAGAGATGAAAGTCCCATGTCATCACAGTTCAACTTGCAAGGTGGGCTAAGTAAGAGGTGAGCTGTCTACTTAACTGTCATTTGCATCACATGCACCCAAGGAAAAAGTGTTTACCTGGTGGAGCCACGGTTAACCTTTTTTCCTTGCTGAGCCGATGCCCTTGGATGAGTTCACTCATGGAAGGGGAACCCTTCAGAAGAAATGATTCTGTGGAGGTGGGATCAGGGGGAACTCTTAATAAATTCTGTAGGTAGGAAGCCCCTGAAGTCCTGGGACGGCTCTGATCACAAAGGGAAGGTGAAAATTGTCTTGCAGGAGATCCAAGAAAAATACATATAGGAAACAAAAAAGTTTTACTTTAATTACCTTTCAACACCTCACCAGTGACAACATTATTCATATTGGCATTTAATTATCTTTTAAATATGAAAGTCAAAAGTTTTTTTTTGTAATTTTTTAGTTTCCATATCAGGATTCAACTCTTTTTGAAAACTACTCTAAATACTGGAATAGAAATTTATTACAGTTAGACAGTTTGAACTACAAATAGAAAATATATGTATTATTTTTGAGTCTTAAACAAAAGCTCCTCAAACAAAAAACTTTAACTAAATTAACTGAAAGCAGGGCAAGTAACTCAACAACCAGAATTTGATAAAATGTTACGAAGTTAAGTCACTAAAATCCTTTAAAGTGATTTCTCAGCAATACTAACATGACTAATAAAAAAGTCACAAAAACTTGCTTTTAAGAAAAGGATTATACATATTCTATTCCATTTTATCAAATATAGCAATGACCTTTCAATTAGTCATCAGTTTTAGTCTTATGGACAAGTATTTCTCTTAGAGAACAAACTCATATCTTTGCCCCATGACAGAAAAAAATGGCATCATTTCCAGAAACATGACATTTAAAATTATAGCCCATGTTCACAGAGCTTTGCTTTTAATATCCACCTTTATGTACCCATTTTTAGGTTGGAGGCTAGGGAAAGACATATCTATGTACACAAACAGCAGCAAAAACATTAACAGACACTTGAAAATCAGGTTATGGTTAATCAGTATGTGTGGATGGGGTCGCAGAAAGACCAGCATTAGCAAGGCCCATTAGTAGTTTTCACTTTTTTTCTTTCCCTTTCTCCATCTTACACAATAAAAGCACATACATTTTTGCAGTCAACTAAAACCTGTCACTGTACCACACTATGACAATAGCTGCATGCATACCTTTTCCTCTGAGTGCCACTGCTGACCCGAATGGTGGGTGTCTGTGGGCCCTGAC